TTCCCAGAAAAAGGCTGTATATGATAACAATAATCTTTTATTCCAAAATGCATTATATATCTCCATGTAATATAAGAATAAAAAAAGAAATCATAGAAATACTTTTCATGATACTAAATCTATGTATATTTGCATTTTCAAAATATTCTCACCTTTTTTCAATAATTCCTATAACTTCCTGAAGTTTATGTTTATAGTAGAGAGTTCATTTAAACCATGTTATTATGTTTCCTGGATGCAATAATTCTGGTGTTATTGTGAAATCATGTGGAGTATCTGCCCCACTGGTTTGTTTTTGTGTTCAATATTGTCTACAAGGGCTTTTGTTAAACTTTGCCTCCTTCTTCTTCACTGGTTCAGGTTTCTGTACAAGGAGACTCCTTTCTGTTTTATCTGTAATGAGGTTTATTTGTATCTATCAGAGACACAGCCTCCTGAAGGATGAAGGCTCTATGGAGTCATTGTAATTATGTTCTGACAACCCCACCAGATTTTTTTCCTTTAGTTTTTTTTCTTCTTTAGTTTTTTAGGAAGGGTTTCATTATATAACAGCGTTGGATGTTCTGGAACCTACTTTGTAGACCAGGCTGGACTTGAACTCACAATGATTTGCCTGCCTCTCTTTCCCCAGTAATGAAATTAAAGACGTGCTACCTATACCCTGTTGGACACTCTTTGAAGCTGAAAATATCTATCAGAACCAGTCTGAAACATGAGAATTAGTGTTAACAAACATAAGATAAGTAGGACAAAAGATGCATGGAGGCATTGAAGTCTCAAAACCTTAGACAGTAGTGAACATCACCTTTTGTGCACATCTGTAAACTTTGCTTGAATTATATGCCACTGTGAATGTAAATACACTGTTATTGGATCAAGTCTATGGTGACAACACCTTGCCCTCATCTGAAATCTCTGATATCACAAGCCTCACATGTATCCACGAAACTACATGACATCTGTAAAAACTTACACTTGACTTCTTGTACACTTTTATACATGATGATGTTGTCACCATATTTTTGTGATATGTGTAGCCAAATATATTCTCTTACATAGAACATAGCTAAAATTCCATGACACATCATGTGGAGAGTTGGATTTCTCATATCTCTGGATATATCTAGATAATTAAAAATATATTATTTATGTTAATTAAAATTATGTTTCTATGTTCTTCATAACAGAAATTTTTCTTGAAATGTTTACTAATGTTGCTCAACTATTATTAGAAATAAGCAGATGAGATGAATGTAGTCAATTTACTGCCAATATCATAAAAAGGAGCCCCAGAAAAACAAAAGGATAATCACAAAATTATTATGCCAATTTCCAGTCATGTGAACTTGATTGCTTTTGTTTCCAGCCCAAATTTTATTTCATTTCATGTATGAATGAATGAGATCTAGTTTCTGAACAACTTTGTCCTGTTCAGGGTTTTCCAGTAGATCAATGAAGTGACTAATTTGGATGATTGTTGAGTCAGCTCTGCAACATCCAGATCAACATTTCAAGAGAGGAATGTGTATTCGTAACATTGTGTGAAGACATTTGACTGGTTAGAGTTCTGATAAACAATTTCACCACTTCTTTCTTTTGACTAAGCATCTTGATGGAATGGCACAATTGAAGAAAGTAATAGTGCATGGCCAAGGCCTGCCACAGCAAAGAATAAATCAGAAGTGATCACTGGTTGGGCTCAGTTTCGGAGAAGTTTATTTTCTTCAAACTGTTATAAACTGACAGGCAGAATGGCTTTCCTTTGAGCTGTCTGACAGGTCCCATTGAGACCAGTGAAATGGCAGCTAGGAAGCTAAATGGGAGCCCAAGGTCGGCGTGGTGGCTTTTCTTTTGCTATTAAACATGTATTTCCAAGAACTGGTTGAAGAGCTTTGACACCCCCACATACACATGGAAGAAACCTGGGTTACATTCTTGTAAGAATGATATTTACAGTTTGAGTCATCAGGCTGCAGCTTGGATGTCCATCAGTGGATCTGCGAATGTCACAGCTTTGAGCTGCTTCCTTCTTAGCAGAGTGATGGCAATGAGGGGCTCAGTGTCAAATCAACCTCCTGCTGTGTGGGAAGGGAGTTACAGCAGGGCTAACACACCATGTGGACTTGGTAAGTACGGAGTTGGCACAGAGGAAGTTCCTTCATTAAAGGAAAGACAAATCATCATATAAATACATGAACATGGGCAAGAGGAGTAGCATGGAGAAAAGGGGCTGGCCCAGGAGTAAAGAAAATAAAAGAGCAGTAGTGTAGTAGTGAGAAAAACCTTAGATACATGTACAAAATTGACAAATTTAATTTAGGGGGAAATGATAAATTACATTATAATCACAAAAACTTTTAAAATACTTTTTCAAAAGTGCAAGAACTTCTGAGTATTTTCGTATTATAATTCTAACTATTTCTTATGTGATATATTAATCCATGAAATATCCTCTTTTATTGTTTTCTTCATATTTAGCTTTTGCTGTGGCTTTCTGTAATCTATGTACTTGGAAGTCAACTTTAAATTAGTAGCAGTGGAGAGGCTGAACTTGCAGAATCAGAACGCTTTACAATGCTTTAGAGTGAATAGTAAAGAACAGATAACACATAAGGACCAATGCCTGGAAAGAAAAGGAAACTAGCAGGCCAAGATATGGATGTCAGGTCAGCTGTGTCCAGATTCGTCAGGTGGAAGGTGCTAAAGTGCTCCAGGGACAGATTCTGATAAAGGGGATCCTTCCTGTAATAGTCCAGATTATCTAGAGGAACAGAACTTAAGGAATATGTGTGTATCCCCCCACAATATATGTACATATATATATATATATATGTGTGTGTGTGTGTGTGTGTGTGTGTGTGTGTGTATGTATATTTATATATATGTGTGTGTATGTATATACACATATATATGTGTATATATATCTATGCATGTATATGTGTATATGTATATGTATGTATATATATACACACAGATATATAAATACACACACACACTAGATGGACCTCACCCCATAAGCCATTCTATATATATATATATATTGTATATGTATAAGATGTGTTATATTATCTATATTTATCGTTATTAATTATTATTATTGGTATAATGGCTTACAGGCTGAGGTCTAGTTAGTCGCACAATTGTTGTCTGCCAGTAGAAGTTAAGTATCTAGTAGTTGTTCCTTCTGTAGAGTTAGATGTCTGGGCTGGTTTTCAGTATGTGCAAGAATCTTGAAGAACTAGGCTCTAATGCCCATTAAGGAATGGACTTGCTAGAGAGAGTGAAGGCAAGCAGGCAAGGAGCAACTGTTTCCTTCTCCTGCATCCTTTATTTAGACTTCCCACAGAAGGTGTGGCCCTATTTAAATGTGTATCTTCCCACCTCAAATGATGCAGATTAAAGTGTATTTTCTCATCTCAAATAGTTTAATTAATAAAAAAATCCAAAAATTCATCATAGGTGTATCAGGAACTTGGATTTTAGTTAATTTTTGATGTAGCCAAGTTGACAGCCAAGAATAGTCATCACACCTCTTCTGTACCATTGAATAAAACTGTTCTGTTTTTACAGATAATTTTTGACTTTGTGACAAAATTCTACTTAAAAAAAAAACTAGTTTGTACTTATATATTAGACAACAAAAGAAAGGTTTTAGTTTCTACATTTGTATTTAGATGTTGTATATATTTTTTCATGTTGCAATTGAGATAAGTTGGAGAAGAACTCTTGAGGCAGTTGAGGGGCCTGATAAGCAGCATCAATTTTCTAGAGATTGCTGTAAACTACAAGATTGGGGGATCTAATTTTTTAAGAGGTGAATTCATACAAATCACATCTGTTTGGAATGGTGATCAAAGTTAATGAACTAAAAGGGAAGTTGGTTTTACATAAAGTCTGTTAAATGAAATCCTATAATCAGTCCTCTGTTTATGGGCTCCACATATCCCTTTAATTCAGGTAAATATTTTTAAGTTTCATTTTATCAGATGTATCTCAACAAAAGACAACATTGTATTTGAGTAATGCGTTACATTTACTGTTTAAGTAATATGACATATCTATACATGTATCAATATATCTATTTAAATATATGGACAGAACCATAAAAATTTTGGCTTAAAATTGTCTTTTGTGGTTTCATTTATCTCATAATGACAGAAATTTTGATAGAACTTTGGAATTTTATTAAACATGCTATTTTAAGTATATGATAATTCTGCACTTTCTTATATCACCATTTCATTTATATACAAAATTGTCTCTCCATTAAGGTCAAAACTAACATTTTAACATTTTCTTTTTTCTTTTTCAGTTTTTCCAGACAGGGTTAATTTGTGTAGTTTTGTTGCCTGTCCTGGAACTCACTCTATAGACCAGGCTGGCCTGGAACTCACAAAGATCCACCTGGCTCTGCTTCCTAAATGCTGGGATTAAAGGTGTGTGCCATCACTGCCCGGCTCATTTTAACATTTTCTAATGTTTTGAGTGAGTTTGAATTTCTGGTTTTTAAATGGATACATAGCATTTTTTAGGGAAAAGTATCAAATGGTCTGTGTCTCCCTATAAACCACTCTTAAATGATTTAATGTAAATTTACATCATAAATCATCTTAAAATTACTTCATAATTGTCAATTATTAAATATTTGGGAAAAATTTATTCAGATTGCAAATTTCTTTGTATAGTAGAAAAGGGGTGAAGTTTCAATAAAATTCTTTGTACGAGGGAGGAAGGTGGTATAGTGCGGAAGGATTGCTGCTCTTTAGCATACTTGTACTTGGCTCCAAGCACCCATGTCAAGTGGCTCACAACTATTTGCAATTCCAGCTCCAGATGATCAGACATCCTATTCTGGCTTCATGGGCATCCACTTATCACTACACACAAACACACACACACACACACACACACACACACACACACACACACA